TCACGGGAGAGGAGGTTGGGAGGCATTTCAGGAGGGACTGCTGCAACCCGTTCCCATCACTAAAGGGCCATGATCAAAGGGTATTTGGGATCTCATATGCTCCACCAGAACCTTGCCACTCTTGCACCAGGTAGTTGTTGGTATTAGTTGTCATCAAGTTGATTTTGACTCATGGAGACATCATGTGACCACAGTAGGACTACTTCAAGATTTTTCCAAGGCTATGATCACTCTGAAGCAGAATACCAGCCCTATCTTCTGAAATTATTCTGGCCTTCAGTATGGATTACACCTTAACATAAAGAAAACAAAATCCTCACAACTGGACCAATAAGCAACATCATGATAAATGTAGAAAAGATTGAAGTTATCAAGAATTTCAATTTCACCTGGATTCAATCATAACCCATGGAAGCGGTAGTCAAAAAATCAAATGACGTACTGCATTGAGCAAACCTACTGCAAAAGACCTCTTTAAAGTGTTAAAAAGCAAAGATGTCATCTTGAGGCTTAAGGTGCACCTGACTCAAGCCATAGTATTTTCAGAAACCTCGTAAGTGTGTGAAAACTGGACAACAAATAAGACGGCTGGAGAAGAATGGGTGTTTTTGAATTATGATGTTGGCAAAGAATATTAAATATGCCATGGACTGCCAAAAGAACAAACAAATCTGTCTGAGAAGAACAACCAGAATGTTCCTTGGGAGTGAGAATGGTTGTGTAAAAACAGAATGGATCCATAAATCTATTCAACTATCGATGGTGCCAACAACAGGGGACATGGAAAGTTTCAAGTCTTCTTAGATGTTGTAAAAATTGTCCATAGCCAATAAAGCAGGCTGGGAGCCCCAAAGACTTCATAATAAGAAGTGTGTTAAGGAGCGGCCAGGACACCATTTCATTATGCAAACAAATCAGGAACAATGATACACACACACATATATTACTCTGATGGAGTTCAAATTTCCTGTCATTAAGACAAATGTAAATAAATCGCTTTGTTTCACAAAGATTTATTTTAAAAGGGCATTTGGAAATGTGCAGAGCTCTGGCCTGCTCATTTCCTGCGGCTACCCTGCCAAGCCATCTTCCGCTCCCAGATTCACCAACATCAAGACTCCTGTTTATGCAAGCCAGTTATTTCTACCTGTGGAGTCTTGGAGTAGGGCTGGGGAGCATCAGCTTGGGAGCAGGCTTAGGAACCAGTCTTACACAAGGCTTGGATACTATGCATCCCTTTAACATTTTCTAGGAACAACGTGAGCAATTTTCTAAGCAACAAGGCCAACTAGGATGGAGGTGTAACCATACAAAGCATGTTATTGTTATTGACTCATAGTGACCCTGTGTAGGGTTTCTAAGGAGCAGTTGGTGGGTTTGAACTGCTGACCTTCTGGGTAAAAGGAGGCAGCCCTGTGATTGCCTTGGGGACATGGAGCTGAGGCAGCCACTCACACATCCTCCAGAGAGAGGGAAAGCAGCCAATTTTTTGGGTTTTTTTTGATCAAATGTCTGTCATTGGGTTGAGAAATGGATTTGATCCTCATAACATATGGGGATCAAGACTACCCCTAGTGAATGGAAGAACCACGAATTAAGCTGTGTTCTTTCTGCCCAATGAGGCTGTGGGAGAATGCTTATAATACAGCTGCTGAGGGCTGTGACCAGAGCTGGTCTTGCTTCTCATTTTCCCCTGGCAGAATGCCGATCCAAACTGCTGTCCGATGGTCTGGTTCTATTTAGTTCATGAGAGTTTTCACTGGTTAATTGCCAGTGCAGGAAAATGAGGATACTGGTGTGAGCTTTTCATAAAGCAAAGTTAATTCACTAGACAGGATCATCCTTTATTCCAAGCTTAGGTCCTTCTGACCTTTTTGGTGATCAGGATCTTTCCTTTTACAAAAGGTCTGTGATACTAATTTTACTTTGATTTAGTTTTTTAATATCCTTATTTGCTCCAATCAAAATTTGACAAAAACTCTATCACTTTGAGATTTTGTTCTTTTTTTATTTTGAATGTTACATATAATCAAAGGCAAACTTAGGGCATCACTTTGTAGAGTATGGGCCCCTGGTGTGGCGCTCGCTGTAGGATCAGCACTGGGCTGTGAATCACAGGGTTGGCAGTTCAAACCTACCAGCTGCTCCTTGGAAACCCTATACAGGGTCATTATGGGTTGGAACTGACTTGATGGTAATTCACAAGAGTCAGAATGACTCAGCGGCAGTGGGTTTGGTTTTTAGGTAAAGCATGGGGCAATATCTAGCTCAGAAACTGTGGGGCTCTAGTCCCAGAGGTTCTGGTTCAGCAAGTCTGGGAGCAGAGGCTGAGATTTTAGATTTCCTACATGATTTTGGAGTCCCTTTGTGGTACAAAAGGTTAGTTAATATGCTGAGCTGCTGCTAACTGGAAGGTTGGAGGAACCAGTCCAGAGAGACTCAGTAGAAAGGCCTGGAAAACTACTTGAAAATCTTCTGGAGCACAGTTCTAATCTGATACGCACACGGGGTCACCACTGTGCGCTGGAATCAACCCCATGGCAACTGTTGGTGTGATACTGTAGGATAAGGGCTGAACTAATCATTGCAAGGTAGCCGGTCCTCGGAAGCCCTATACAGAGTTGTTATGAGTCGGAACAACAGCCAAGCCCTAGGTAACACTGACCCAAGCCATGGCATTTTCAATAACTTCATATGCATGTGAAAGTCGGACCATGAATAAGGCAGACTGTAGAAGAATTGATGCTTTTGAGTTATGTTGTTGAAGGAGAATATTGAAAGTGCCATGGGCTGCCAAAATAACCAATAGATCTGTGTTGGAAGAAGCACAGTCAGAGTGCTCCTTGGAGGCCAGGATGGCCAAACTTTGTCTCTCCTACTTTGGACATGCTGTCAGGAGGGACCAGTCGCTGGAGAAGGATATCTTGTTTGGTAAGGTGGAGGATCAGAGAAAATGAGGAAGACCCCCAGTGAGATGGATTGGCCAGGGGCAGCATCAATGGGCTCAAGCATGGCAACAATAGTGAGGTTGGGCCAGGATCTGGCAGTGTTTTGTTCTGCTGTGCATAAGGTCGCTATGAGTAGGTACTGACTCTATGGCACCTAACAACAACACCAAGGTAACACTGCTGCTAAAGGCCAGGCCCCCTGTGTGAGAACCACTGGTCTAGTCTGTCCATGGTGGGGTGTGGAGGGCCTTCTGAGATCTAAGGGAGGAGTCTTTGTAATAGGCTCACACAACATGGCTGTGTGTACCCAGTCCCAGGCTCTCTGCAGCAGGAAATTTCAGATTTCTTTCTCCCTCACTATAGTGCCAATTGACTTGTGGCGTGGCACTGTAGGATCAGCATTGGACTACAAACCATAGATCCGCAGTTCAAACTCACCAGCTGTTCCTCAAAAATCCTATACAGGGTTGCTATGAGTCGGAACTGACTCAATGGCACTTATCAAACAATAGTAGTGCTGATAAAGAAGAGTGGGAGGGCAGTTCTATGGAAGGAAAGACAATGGCACTGCCAAGAGCAGACTGCCATCTTCTTAAACTGGAGGAAAAGCGTATGATCCAAACAGTCTGCCTGATACATCAGCATGGGGTCTGGCTGTGTCAGGAAATTTACTACCCATGATTTATTTCACCCTCCATGACTGTGAGCTGTACAAAAGGCAGTCCACATTTGACTCTAGCAGGCCCTAGGGTGGTAGAGGAAATGTGCTAGGACTTGGGGTTAAGGATTCTGTCTGAGACATACTTATCTGATTCATTTTCTCTGCCTTTGATTTCTCTACCTGGGATTTCCTCTGAGGTTAGGTTGACTTTATATCCTTTCTCTTCCAAACCAATGTTTCACCTTTGTGTACTTCAACGTTTGTGTAATACTTCACAGAATTCCCTGGCTAGCACAAAGAGTTAACACACTTGACTGCTAACTGAAAGGCTGTAATTCAAGTGTACCCAGTGGCATCTCAGAAGAAAGTCCTGGCTAATCTAATTATGAAGAGTCAACCACTGGAAAACCTATGGAACACATTTCTACTCGGATATACATTGGGGAACCATGAGTTGACTAGATGGTAACTAACTACCTTGGGTTTTTAGCATGCTACTTTGTATACTTGTAAGGAGCTCTGGTAGCGTAGTGGTTACGAATCGGGCTGCGAACCTTAAGGTCAGCGGTTCGAAACTACCAGCTGCTCCGCGGGAGAAAGATGAGGCTTTCTACTCCCATAAAGATTTACACCCTCGGAAACCCTATACAGGGTCGCTATGGGTCGGAACCGACTCGATGGCACATAACAACAACAACAACAACTTTGTATACTTAACATTGTCAAAATAAAACACACACACACACACACACAACCTGACACCTGGCTTAGTGTTGGCCTAGAAAGAGTAGCATATTACTGATTCCTCAAAAGCATACATGTTAAAACAGACAATATATGGCAATAGCAAATAAATACTAGTAGTATGTAATTCAGGTAATATTTAGCAAATAAAATATAATTGAGCCTCAATTTTCAAAGTGTCTGAGTTCCTTCTTTAAAGTAATAGTCATACTCGGCTCTGCCATTAGCTCTGTATTGCAATTGTGTGGTGCATTAAACAATAATGGATAAATTTGATAGAAATCAAACATGAAATTCATGTGAAATTATTTGAAATCATCATAAAAGGACTATAAATAGGATTAAAATTAGACAACGCTTTTCTGGTTAAGGCACCTGGATGAGTAACACAAAAGTGGCCACTGGAACTCCAAGTTTACATCTTGTCAAGGAAGACATTGAGAGACCTCCTTGAGAGCTCCCTTGAGCTCAGCCCAAGCCCCAGATCCACCCCTTCTCACACTGAAGAAAACTTTTCAGGTCTGAGGCAAGACAAGATGAGACTTACCCACAGGGTTTGCTGACAGGTTTTCTGCATATTTTATGGCCAAAAAACAAACAACCTAAACTTCCAAACTTAGGCGTCCTACTCAGGAGGAACCACTTACATTTGTCCTGCAAGGAATCATGGGGTACTTCTCCCTGAGGACTTTCTTCCAAGTCCCCGTAGTGCAGAACTTTGTGGTTGGGTGACAGCCGACAATACCAAAATTTATCTGAGGAGAAACAAACCATACACAAGTTAAAAGTTAAGTGATTCTGGTTTCTAACGGTATCACTATCCTTATTTCTAAATACACTTGCCAGAAAGAAAAAAGCAACGCATTTAATTTGGGGTCTGCAAGAATATGATTCTGCCATGAGGAGAAATGGCATTCTGATGTATGCTTCTTGTTGTTGTTCAGTGTTGTCGAGCTGTTCCGACTCACAGCAGCCCTGTATAGTTTCCAAGGAACAGCTGGTGAGCTTGCACCACCGACCTTGGGGCTGACAGATGATATTGATCCTACACCAGGAGGCCAACGTGGTAAACACTGAAAGCTCTATGAAGAGTGTAAAAAGTCAGTCACAAAGGGATAAGTATTCCACCTTTATGAAATACCTAGGATAGGTAAGTTATAGAGAACAAAGTTTATTTTACCAGGGGTGCTTGGTAAGAGGGCAGGGAGAGGTGGAACTTCTTGATTAGGGGGAACTCCTGGTGTGGTACTGTAGGATAAGCACTGGAGTGCTAACCACAAGGCTAGCAGTTCAAATCCAGCAACCACTCCTTGGAAATGCAATACAGGGTCGCTATAAATCTGAACTGACTGGATGGCTAACAACAACAACTGATTAGAGGTGATACTGTAGGATCAGCACTCAGCTGCTAACTGCAGGGTCTATGGTTCAAACCCACCAGCTTCTCTGTGGGAGAAAGATGAAGCTGTGTGTTCCTGTAAAGACTTATCATCTCAAAAAGCCTCAGGAGCAGTTCTGCAGGGTCAACGGTTCAAGCCCACCAGCTTCTCTGTGGGATAAAGATGAAGCTGTGTGTTCCTGTAAAGACTTATCATCTCAAAAATCCTCAGGAGCAGTTCTGCAGGGTCAGCGGTTCAAGCCCACCAGCTTCTCTGTGGGAGAAAGATGAAGCTGTGTGTTCCTGTAAAGACTTATCTCAAAAACTCTCAGGAGCAGTTCTGCTGGGTCCTATGGGGTGGCTATGAGTCGTAATCAACTCGGTAGCAGTGGGTTTAGTTTTGGTGTTCCTTTTAAGGGTGGTGTTTGAAAATGAATAATGGTAATGGTTAAACAGTATGATAAAAATAACTAATGCCACTGAATTGTACACAAGAAGAATGTTGAAATGATAAATGATCTGCTACACATATGCACTGCTATTGTTAAGTGCTGTCGAATCAGTTCCAACTCATAGCAACCCTGGATCGGGTTTCCGAGGAGTGGCTGGTAGGTTTGAACCACGAACCTTTCTGTTCAAACTGATCTTACGGTTCAGTGCTTATCCTAAGCGCCACACCAGTCTGGGGGGCACTGGGAAAACTATTAAATCCTTCAAGTTCAATGGAAGTAGGTTTTCTGAGGTGGCAGTTTCCAGCAGGCATTTGCTTTGAGTTAGATTGGGAGTACTGAGGTCCACATATCGACCACCCTAATAACAAGGAGCTCTAGTAGCATAGTGGTTATGAATCAGGCTGCGAACAGCAAGGTCAGCAGTTTGAAACCACCAGCTGTTCCGCAGGAGAAAGATGAGGCTTTCTGCTCCTGTAAAGATATACAGCCTTGGAAACCCTGTGCAGGGTTGCTATGAGTCGGAACCGACTTCACGGCACATAACAACAACAACTCTGAAATACTTATCAGCCCTGACACTGCAAAGAAGAAAGTCTCTATTTTCACAATCACACCAGCCCAAATCTCTGATACAATGCCTGGCACTTAGAAGCTGTACAGTTGGTGCTGGCTACATTGGTAAATTAAGGTTCAGGAGATTCGGTTAAAATGCCTAAGGCATAAAGAGTCTATTACTTTGTGAGCTCTTTTGTATTGTCATGTAGTTGGAAAACTTTGTGGCTTCAGTCGCAAACTGTTTGGAAACTACTCCAACTATAAAACTCTCCATAACACCTTAAGAAAAGTGTATATTTCCCCCATCTTCAATTGCCTTCACTGCAAAACCAGATTTTAACTAGGACTCTTTTAACAGAAAAAAAAAAGTTTTTAAAATGAAAATAAAAACCACACATGAACAAACAAAAATGCTCACACTTGATTCTCCAAATAAACATGCCTTTCTGACGATCTTCTTCATCTACACATTTGTTGGTGTTATTAAGTGCTGTGGACTTGATTCTGACTCATGATGACCTGTATAGGGTTTCCTAAAATTCCTAACCTTGAGCCAGAATATGACAATGCAGGTATCTGAATCTGAGAAGGAAAAAAATTGAGAAGATAAAAAAAGATATTTGATGGCTAAGAAAACATCTGGAATTTCTAAGTTTTCAAAATTATGTTTTATAAGTATTAAACACAAGCCATTTTTCTAGAATAGCTTTTCGAAGGGAGGGAATACCGCTTTTCCCTGAGTAATTCACAGCCATTTTAATTGGGCTAATGTATAATTATTCTTTTTCCATGAGGAGAACACATATGTGGATTTGACTGTAATTCACAATAACAAGATCCAAAGGACTCGGAGTTCCTGCTTTGACCTTGAGCACTACCAATGCCTGAAGTGGGGCCTCTTGGGGGTCTGGCAGGAAGGACTGTACAGTGTCTTTTCCCAGAAGGACTCTGGGCATCATCTAAGTAGTCTTAGCTCTGGTGTGGCTCTGTAGTTCAAACCTACCAGCTATTCTCAGGGACCCTATACAGGGTCACTGTGAGTCAGATGGTACACAACGACAACACACCACCTCTGATGATCACAGAGCCAGTAGGAACAGCCGCTGCCTCCAAGGTGAGGTTTTTGGCTATGTAAGATTTTTGACAGAAAGCCAGGAAGGAGGTCATCAGAGATGGTTGGACATGTTGATCTTGCTCTGAGTTAGATTCTTTATAGGAATCCTTTGTTTCTCAAGCTGGAGTAAACCCTCGGGAGTAGCAGGAGCACTTGAAGTCAAAGGGTCAATATGGCACAATCAAACATCAATTATATTCAATGTATTTTAAGTAAGGTGAAATGAAGAAATTATAATTGGTACCCAGATATATTACAACTTACATTTATTTGTAAGGTCAAATATAAAACGTGAAAGAAATCTTGCTGCACTGTAGGATAAGTACTAGGCCGTAAAGTCAGTTTGAACCACAAGGCAGTGGTTCAAACTCAGAAACTCTGTCCAGGGTCACTATGAGTCAGAACCGACTTCAAGGCACTGAACAACAACAATAACATATACTTGTAGTTGACATATTGTCCTACAAATAAATTGTTTACTACTTATATACTCTTAGGTAGTCTTGGTATGGTGTTGTAGATAAGCACTGGGCTGTTAACCACAAGATTGGCAGCTCAAACCTACTAGTTGCTCCTCAGAAACTCTATTTAGGGTTTCTATGAATCAGAACTGACTTGACAGCACTTATCAACAACAACAACAATAGTATATACTTCCAGGGTATGTTTATTTATTCAAGGAATCCCTGAGTGGTACAGATGGCTAAGGTGTTCTGTTATTCACTGATATGTTGGTATTTCAGCCCACACACTAGCACTTTGTAAGGAATGTCTGGTGATCAACATCTGAAAATTCAGCCTTTGAAAACCCTGTGGAGCACCGTTTTACTCTGGCAAACGTGGGTCACAATGAGTCAGAATCAACTCGATGGCAACTCTGCCCCCACAAACGTATTCAATGAATATTTACAGACTGCTTACTATACTCACAGGCTTTTAGTGGGGCACTGTAAGATAAACACAGGCCTGCAAGTTCTGCTGGAACCACAAGGTTGTCGGTTCAAACTCACTACTCGCTCCCTCAGGAACTCTACAGGGTTGCTCTGAGTTAGAACTGACTCGAAGGCACTTGATAACAAGCATACACACCATACTCTACTAGGTGGAGAAAAAGTATCATTAAAATGAAAGGTAGATGTGAGAGACACAGTCAAGAAGTTCAAGAAAATGAGTTTCCTCAGACTTAAACATAGCTTAGAGAAAGAAATATGTTTGCAAACTAGTAGGTCAGGGAAGACTCCTGGTGTGGTGCTGTGGGTTCATGCAACAGATTGCAAAGCCATTTGAACTGCAAGGTCGGCAGTTCAAGCTCGCCAGTCACTCCTCTGAACCACGGTCAGAATCAACACAATGGCGCTTAACAACCACTTTCCATGCAAGGCTGCAGTCTTGTTTGTTTATAGAAACATAGAAGGTTGACTGGACTGTGTCAAAACAATACCTGGTATAGGCTGACAGAATTCCCTACTTTTAGAAGTTAAAATTCTCTGAATCTTATGGTGTGGCATTGTGGGCTAATATGCTGGACTGCAAAGTTGATTTGAACCACAAGGTCGGCGGTTCAAACTCACCAGCGGCTCCTTGGAAACCCAGTACTGGGATGCTATGGGTCAGATCTGACTTGAAGGCACTTAACAACAACTTGCTCCTGATTTTCTTCCTTCCTCTGGCGTATTCTTCATGTATCCTACATATTATGGATTGAAATGTATCCTCATCCTAATATCTGTGGAATTGGGAACTAGGGGATTCTTTGTCATGTTAATGAGGCCACTGTTGTATGGGTATGTCTTCCTTCAACCACTTTTTGAGATCTCAAAGAGTGGACCAGACAAAGAAGAAAGCAAGTGCAAGTGGGGGAAGTAGATGTCACACCACATGAAGATCTTCAAGGAACCAAAGAACAGAAGCTGAATAGACACAAGGATCTTCCCCCAGAAGCAACAGAGAGAAAGTCTTCCCCAACACCCAGTGTTGTGTGAATTTGGGCTAAACTATGAGAAAATAAATTTCTGTTCATTCAAGCCACACACTTGTAGTATTTCAGTTGTAGCATCATTAGAGGACTAAGACACTTTATTAAGTTCCTCTTTCTCTATCCATTACGGCCGTAGAAGAGATCAAAAAGGAACCACTGCTGGAAGTAACGTGGTCAACTCTCTCTTATTAACTTGGATGGATGGGAGAAATTGGGAAAAGGGGCTGAAAAACTTGAGAAGGTTTTTTTTTTTTTTTTTTTTAATTTTTTTTTGTGAA